ACCAATAGGATTCTTGGATTTCATATTTGGCGCTGATTTGGGATTTTAACAGGAAACTAGGGTTTTTGACTAGTTAAATCTAGGGTAGGAGAATTTCCGGCACGTACCTACCTCACTTTTTCTCGGTTAGCCATGGTGGCGTGCACTTGACCTGTGAAAAGTAATTTTGATTTTCTCGGTGAAAACCGTAGAAACCCTTAGGGGTATTTGATTTTGGGAAGCCGTTGCTTACCGGTTAGTGGATGGAATCTCCGTCAGGAAGCCAATTGTGGGATTTGTTCCTGGAGACTGCCATGAAGTTCTAGAAGCCATGCAGCCCGGCCTGTTTCAGTCCTTAAAAAGCAAGATCTAAAAAAGTCTTCAATCCTACCTCCCTTCTCAGAAGGTAAGTCACAGCCATAGCAGATTCAGCAGTGAAATCTTCGAAAATATATCCTGTTCTTCAGTTTTTTTCTGTTGTCTCCACGTGCTCTGTGTGCCCTCTCAGGAGGCTATATTCAGATTATTTCTTAGGGTGCTAGGGTGCAGCTTAGCTGTGCTTCGGACTCCTGGTAGCGACCGGCCCTCAGGATACTCTACTCTACACTTGTCAAGATCCCCCAGTGGATCTGAGTAATCCTGCAAGGTCTTCGGATCTTGGCCAGAGTCGACCATGGAGACACCAGATGGAGCCCAGTAGCAGCTGGTAGAGACTGACCCCTGGTTATACTGCATCCTGGAACTCTGCTGACCGTGGAGGTTCAGCATTCCTCGTTTGTGTTGTCTTCACCTGCAGTGACCTATGCTGCACATCTACAATCATACCACTTGGGACCTTGGATAGGGGTGGTCTGGACCATTGCAGAGGACCCTTGGACCACAATCAGGTTTTTTTGTTCCACCTTCAGTGTTTCACATTTTGCTATATAATTATCTACATTTTTTTTTTTTTTTCACATCTGAGACTGGTTGAGTAATCACCTTTTTTTTACAGTATTAATTCACAAACTGGTGAAGCTCTTGTGAAGCTCTCCCATAGTATACTATGTGACTGCGGTTGCTTACAGTTCATTGCGCTATCATTCCTTGACTAGTTATACAGTCCGTTTTATAGTTGATATAGGATTGTTACTATACTTATTTTCACTTATTCTAAAAATATGGTAATTGTCCTGGTATAGGTAGGAAAATTATGATAGAATCACCATGCAATTTACTTAACCTACACTATTGAAATAATACAGTACTTTAGTGATTATTTTTCATCATGAAACTGCAGGCCTCTACATAGGTCCATATATAACCTTGTCTCTGGTGGTGTGAAATATAATAGGTCTTGAATTTTATGTTGGTTTTCATTCTTCCATATGTCCAGCCCAGCCTTCTAAGAAAATGTACCTTGAACAACTTTCAGATTTTTGAAAAGCAGATTATTTGGAAAGAAATTTGGTTTTCTCAATTATCCAAATTGTAGGATTTTTTTATAAATTGAGTGGCGTCCAAGAACTTGAATTTTCTTCACCATCTAGCCTATAAATTCGAACTCACTTATCTGTTCTCCGATGTACAGCTGCCGATAGCAAATGTGTTTGACTTTTTAATAATTCCATCCTTTTATATTAAAAGTTGGCCACAATACCTACATCCCGTCCGTATATTTCTTCGTGTTATCGTAAACAAACCCCTTCCACCTTTCCCTACCACGGCGAGCAAACTTTGCGTTCCACTTTCCCCAAGGGGGTTCGGTAGAGCAAATAGCGGGCGCATTTCGTCGCCCCTGAGGGGATTAAAAATTATAATTGGATGTACGAAGAATCGAATGCAACACAATCAGAAGCACGCCGAAAAGGCTCAACACTCAAACTGCCGTAACTTCGAGGATAAGCCGTTCGTTTGCTAAAACGTTTTCGATTATCGAGGTTCGATTTGATTTGTGTTCTTGTCTATTCATCGGGAAAACAACCTCCAAACATAACACCAATTGACAGTCATATGCCCGAGATCACCCTTTCGCCAACGTACTATAGGGAAGATTTTATTGGGTCTCAACACCAACAAAGCTTGTGGCTCCGACGGAATTCCACCAATTGTTCTCAAGAAATGTGCTCCCGAACTAACACCTGTTCTCTGCGAGTTGTTCAACTACTCATACAAATTGGGGATATTTCCGTCCAACTGGAGAATTGCAAGAGTACAACCAGTTCCTAAAAAAGGCAAAAAGACCCTACCTAGCAACTACAGACCGATCGCACTGCTATCTATTATTTCAAAGATCATGGAGAAAGCTATTAAAATCGAGCTCATGAAATACCTGAAACATTAAGGTATTATCAACGATAGGCAATATGGCTTCCGTCATCAGAGATCAACTGGTGACCTGCTTGCTTACGTCTCACATATATGGCAGAAATCTATTGAAAAATATGGTGGAACCTTAGCCGTGGCACTTGATATCTCCAAGACATTCGATCGAGTCTGGCACCACGGACTCCTTGCCAAGCTTCCATTTTATGGCTTGCCTCCCCAGCTATGTTCTCTGCTAGCTAGTTTTTTCTCAAACAGGTCTCTTCATGTATTGGTCGACGGAGTTTCATCGGACTCACTTAGCATAAATGCTGGTGTTCCGCAAGGATCAATTCTAGCACCAACACCATTTCTACTCCATGTCAACGATTTGGTGGAAGCACTTCATGTCCAATACACAGCTTCGCGGTTGATAGTACGCTCCATACCGCCTCCTCTTCCAGGGCTCCAATACCAGCCAGGCAGATCAGAAACGAACGAGAAATGTTGACAACATAAATACGGACTTGGCAACAATTCTCGAATCGGGATCCAATAACTTGGTAGATTTCAATGCAAACAAAACACAAGCATGCCTTTTCTCTAGAGAAGCCGATCTCACTGTGCCCAATATAAGCTTGTCAGGAGTAACCATTTGATGACGGATCCCGGAAACTTGGTATTCTGTTTCGGACCAGGAGCTATTACACTTCTAGTCAGCTGCTTATGATCTATAAGGCACAGATCTGACCTGTCCTGGAATACTGTTTCCATATTTGGAGTGCAGCACCCAAACTGTTGGATTCCACCCAAAAAAAGGCAATACGTCTCGTGGGTGATGCCTCGCTCAAGAACTCACTCACTTCTCTGGAACACCGTAGAAAAGTTGGCGATCAGGCCCTATCTTGTAGATATTTTCATAGACGATGCTCTTCTGAAATATCAACAATTGCTCCTCCCTTGGCAGTCTCCGCGAGATTAATCCGTCGAGTTGAGACTTCGCACCTCTTCGTGGTCACTTTGGAGACCTGCAGAACATCTTTCTCCAAAGACTTGTTCATCCAACGAACAGCGAGGCTCTGGAACACATTGCCAAGGGAGGTGTTTCCTAAAGCATATATCCTCCAGGAATTCAAGAAGAACGCCAATTCCTACCTTATTTTTCTTGGTTCTCACGATGTTCTCTGAACATTACAGGATTTCCCTTTTCGTGGGAACCAGAACATAAAAAAATTATATTGGCTATACTGACACTCAAATTTCATCAAATGAGAAGCAATGGAGAATAACCTTCATAGCATCAGAGGCCAGAGGATGGTCACAGTAAATTGAATATTTCACAATCAGAAGCATTCCGGAAAGGCTCAAGATTCTAACTTTCGTAACTTCGAGGATAAGCCGTTCGTTTGCTACAACGATTCTGATTATCGAGATTGAATTTGTATTGAGTTCTTGGCTATTTTGTATTGGCTATACTGACACTCAAATGTTACCAAAGGAGAAGCTATGGAGAATGACCTTCATAGCAATGAAGGCCAAAGGATGGTCAGAGTAAATTGGATGTATCACAATCAGAAGCATGCCGGAAAGGCCCAAGACTGAAACTTTCGTTACTTCGAGGATAAACCGTTCATGTGATCGTTAATATTGTTGTTGAACAACAAGCTACAACCACTCAATTGTCAGAGTCAAAAGTGTGAACGAAACAATGTGGTTACGTTATAACAGCCAGAATACTACTCTTAACACTATGATGTGGAAAAGGAGGTTCATTATTTTCAATTAGCTATGGAGTGTTATGATCGAGGTAAGAGGAAGCTAAAGAAAGTGAATCAAATATCAAGAAGATAATAAAGTTAGCTATTCATTGAGTCTCCCATAGATGAATAGATTCCAAAACAATGAAGTCACTCTATTATGAATTCTTCTACCTTTCTGGCCATGCCTGATTCATGAAGTGATGGTACTTCAACTTCGGTACTGACTAAGTATTACATAATATGATCCAAAATATGAATTAAAATTCCGATAACATTTTTGTACTCTTTTTCCTGATGTACGTATTCTTCCCTGAGTAGTTGCCTGACCCATAGATACTATATTGTATCTCATGGCTGGGTATCTGAAGGCATAATATACATCCATCAGTGTTATATTTTTATTCAAGTTTTTGTTGACGACAAAATAAAAAAGAGATACAAAATAATTCTACCTGGATACATTCATGTAGGAGCTACGATACTAGTATGGTTGTTGTGAATCACTCAATGGCTTCTCGCGATTATTGTCAACAAAATATATGTGCAATAAAAATGGTCCTGCTGACCATCTAAGGGACCCTACATATATTTCTCCTGAATAAATAAGTGGTTTGATATCGATAGACCAGTTGAAAATTACTACACAAAAGGTCTGGTTGGGCTAAGGTATTTTTGTAGAATTGTATCATGATGAATTATGCACTGTGTTAGTAGTCAACTATCAAATTGATGAACGTGTTTTGTTCAATATAGCAGCAACTATATTCCACCTCTTATTCAGCACAAATATATTGTGATGTGTGATCAAAGAAGTGATCCCAAGTACACTTATGTTTTGCAATTTGATTTGATTAATCAAACGTATTCAGATAATCCCGCATTGTTCAATTGCTATTCATCATTACAATATATTTGGGCCTCTCAGGCTCTCATAGAATATCTATTGAGCTGAATGCTTTCAGCTTCTGATGAACTTACCCAGTTATCCATTTTCTCTCTCCTGTTCTCAAGATACACTTGCAGCTTAGGTCCAAGGCCTCCAGGTGCTCCAAAATCATCGATGATTTTGCACACTCTCTCATGTTCCTTGTCGTCCAGTAGAGGTAGTAGAGTCTTCTTGTATTTCTGTAGAGTGGTTTCTAGCTTTGGAATGGGCAACTTTGGAAGTTTTTCCTAGAAAAAAAATGAGGTGAAAGCTATAAAATTAAGCTCGAGGTGACTTCGATGTTCTTATTTCTGAAATTTTGGTTCAACAGGACTTTTACTAGGTGAAATATACGGTTGTATGAGATCAATAAACTTTGTTCGGTCAGAAAATTATGTGTCAATTCTTTCCGAAGTGAAGATTCACAGATTCATCCCGTAGAATTTCTGGAAAGCTACCCCCAAATTTTTCTGGTGAAAAGCTGAATGTTAAGGAATTGTAGTACATCATGGACTTCTTATTTGAATGAAAAATGTAGTCCGAATTGACAAATATTCAGTTCAGTTCATTGTATGAGTATCTCACTTGAAGTAGCTACTATACATATGTACTTTTTCGGAGAATTTTTGTCATTTGGAGAGTTTTCACAATCACCATGGCTTCGCATCATGAAACGGCTAAACAAAATTAATAAAATATCCGATGAAGAGTATTTTCCACACAAATTATTGAAATATGTGAGTGATATACGTGTGAAAAAAGCCCATAATGCCTCAAGTGTAGTGGAAGTAGTTGGAGAAAAAAGAAATCTCAGAGTCATCTCCACGGCGTTCAATAAAATATCATATTTATGTTACAAAAGGGGAAGGACATGTTTCATGCTGATAATAAGCTCATGAAAACGTCCTACAACAATGAGTATGCTCTAGTAAGTATAAGAGTTTACGTTAAGAATCTAATTTATTACAATTACTAGTTAGTGCATATTGTTGTAGGACGTTTTAGTATCTTTTTGCTGATGATGGGCTCATTATCAGCACCCACAACTTTAATGTTCTATCGGATGTCATGTAGATGATTTCAAGATTATATTTTTTGTTGATGAATATAGTATCAAACAGGAATTTTGTATTTCAGCCAGTCGTAATTAGTAGTATAACGCGTGTATAAACGCCAAGACAAGAACAATAATTTTCAGTAAAAATACTATGGAGTTCATGATCCTTGAGGGTATTCAAATGGTGTTTTTTGAAATATAACAGCATATTTAATCAAAAAAATTGATACATTCTTGTTATGGTACTACTGAATTTCAATTATATGCACATGTAAATTGAATTCACGCATTTGTATCCTTGCCTATTCAGCCGATAACGATAACGCTGATCATTCAGCCTCAAGGCCACGTCTCTCTATATAAAGCCTCATTTACATGAAAGCGACGAAATCACGTGGGCGCGAATAACGTTCGTGCGAATGATGGCATAACGGCCATCGTACTCCCTCATCTACTATATTGCTGTAATTCAGTTTCAGAATCATCCATATATTCATAGAGTTCGGAGCTTCGGAGTGTGCAGGAATTCCAGGGGCGGAGAAAGGTAATTTTTCTTTGAATAACATTACCTCATTGGTCACTAGCGCTCCTTCGACGTTCGTCTCTCGACAGCCTTCAAATAGTATCAGCTCAGAGATGTATTTTTTTTAATATTCTGGTTCCCACGAAGAGGGATATCCTGTAATGTTCAGAGAACATCGTGAGAACCAAGGGAAATAAGGTAGGAATTGGTGTTCTTCTTGAACTTCTGGAGGTTATATGCCGCAGGGAACACCTCCCTTGACAAAGTGTTCCAGAGCCTCGCTGTTCGTTGGATGAACGAGTCTCCGGAAAGAGATGTTCTGCAGGTCTCCAAAGTGACCACGAAGGGGTGCGAAGCCTCAACTCGACGGGTTAATCTCGCGGGGACTGCCAAGGGAGGTACAATTGTTCATATTTCAGAAGAGCATCGTCCATGAAAATATCTATAAAGTAGAGCCAGTTTTCTAACTTTTCTACAGTGTTCCAGAGAAGTGAGTGAGTTTGTGAGTGAGGCATCACCCACGAGACGAATCGCCCTTTTTTGGACAGAATCCAACAGTATTGCTAATTGAGCAATCTGAATCGGTGAGAGTAAGAACATAATATAATATAGATGAAATTGCTCGACCTGGCAAATCTGTTTCGTTAGGAAGAGAAAATCAACGATAGATTTTTTTGGTGATATATTTCCACCTCTGGATAAACGTATCCGTGAGTAGTGTAGCGAACACAAGAGGGGTTGCAGAGGGGGTGACACACCAATTAACATCCTGTGAATCATTCCACCAACACCGCACCCAATTAGGGGGTTTACTTTTACTAGAGTTGGTACATGGCTTGTTTCACGTTTCGGTGTCCTATAGCTATGCTATGAATATTACATTATATACATTCAGAACTAAATATTACGATCACCTGGTGGAAATCAATCAAGTGTTAAGCTAGCATCTGACATGCCGCTATATATCATAGGCTTCATTATTATTCATCATAAGCCAGGAATCAGGATGTAAGATCTCTTGGACTCTTGGTCACCATATTATTCACTACCGTGTTCAAGTCTTCATTATTTATACCATTAGAAATATTTTTCAGTGGTTATGGTGCCGTAGAACTGAAGAAAAGTATGTTGAAAGTATCTACGGAAACCTAGACGTCATGACGAAAGCATGACTGAAAATTTGAAGGACAGCACGACTCATGATAGTTATTCAAGTATCAATGGCGTATCCCTAATAACACACTTATGTCCCATGGATATCCTTAGGACGTCCTGTCGGGACATTCAGGATGTCCATAGGACGTTCGAATTTGGTACCGTGGACGTCCATTGAATGTCTGTGGGACGCACAAATGTCCCATTTGAGGACCAACTAGGGATGTCCTTGAGGGATGTTCATGGGACGACTATCGAATACCTAAATCCTACAGTAGGACATCCATAGGACAACCCATAAGCAACGCTAAGGGATATCGATTGGATGTCTATAGGATAATCCAGGGACGTACGAATTATTCTTGAATTTGAATATTTCTGGTCCTTCTAGGACCAGATCTTGCATAACTGATTAGGACATCCAGTTGAGTTGATGGTTTGTAGAAGGTCCCCAAAAAGTTTCCCAAGGATGTCCAATGGACTCACGTGAAGGACATTGACGAGGAGTACTCATTGCCTACGAGCAATAATTCGTCGGCGAGGTCTGAGTTAACGTCCTCGCAGGGACAACATATTGAAAGTACCGAGTGGGACGTCAATAGGACGTTATTTCTAGGACATTGGAAGTGTACAGTTCATGTACCAATTAGAAAATCCGACGGATATCCCTAAGGGACATTCGAAAGATGTCCCTAAGGGACATTTCGATTGTTATACGATCCTGGAAATATTAAGGGCGTCTGTGCAGAGATATTTGAAGGAATGTACCATCAGAGACATTTCATAATTGTCTAGAAGGGACATCATATGAGATCTGAAGTCATGTCAGAATATGTACTACTCAGGACATCCGATGGATGTCCCTAAAGAATCGTTTAAAATCATATCTCATCAGGGACATGCCAAGGACGTCATACATACAACATTTTATGCACGACCATTTCATACATTTATTAGCTGGCAATATGGAATTTATCGATGATTGCGTTCCTAGGGAGGATAGGGACAGGAGGTAGGTATTGGAATTTTTTTTTAACTTTTGGAGATTATATGTTGTGGGGAATACTTCCACAGGCAATGAATTCCAGAGCCTAGCCGTTCTATGGATGAAGGAGTCTTGATAAAGTGCTGTTCGACATCTTTCGAGGTTGACAATGAAAGGATGTGCTGACTGGGCTCTTGTCTAGTTCGTCTGATTGGTATTGCTAGTGAAGGGATGATAGCAGATATTTCCGAAGAACATTTCCCGTGGAAGTATCGATAGAAAAGTGAAAGGTCGCCGACTGCTCAAAAGTAATGGAAAAAGAATAAAATATCCTTACCGCCGGCTTACCTACTTTACTGCCCGCTGTACTCATTTATTGCCCTAGGGCAATGAAGTGCTACCTTATGCCCGCGAATCGGAAATATAGGGTGATGAAGTTTTGAAAAAAAAAATGCATCGAGGTGCATTTTTGAATGTATACAAATTTTCCTTTTCTCTACCAGTGGCGCCGTTAGGGGGATATGGTTGATTATATCATACTTGAAAGTGAGCAACGAAGAAATATTTCCAAATTTAATAAACTGCTATAAAAAGTCAGTCAATTTTGTACAGAAAAGATCCTCGTGTTGATACCCGATAGGACGCTCCGTTTTCGAAAAAAAATGAGAAAACGAGATCAGACTTCAAATTTTGATGTAAATGCTAAGCTTGAGTACTCCGTTCAGAACATCCATTACTGGATAACCACATTATGTAACATTTTGAAAGTTTTGCACCGATTCAGTCACATAGCAGAATAAATTTTTCCATCAGTAAAAGCTATACAAGGTGGACAAAGAAAGAATCCAAGTATATGTTCAACTTTGATACCCTGTCAAAAGATAGGAATTTTCATATAAAGTTTTATTCTTGAAATGGGTCCAATAATCGCCCCCTTGAATATTAGCATGTCATCAAGGATCACCCTGTATATCCATTTTTTCTGTTCATAAATATATCTGAGAATATTCCTTTTCAAAAGAAAATAATGTTTTCTCCAGACTGTACCAACTATACCTTCCACAATGGAAATTTATCGTAACGTTTCTGTCCTTGCGTGAGTCCTCAAGTCACGCTATCCGATTTTTCCGAGTTCTATCGACCACGTGCAGGTACTAGAAAAAGGGCGGCTAGGGTTAAATGAAAGGGTCGCGTGTGCCCACTTGTGTGTCCTTCTATCGAATGGAACAGGATTGCAAAGCCTTTGCCCTTTGCCATTATAACCCGACTATCATTATTTATAGACGCTATTTCGTAATGACGACTATTGATTCGAATATTAGGTAATATTTACTAATACATACTTTATCGTTGTTGAGGAAGGAAGGAATGCTCGAAGTCATCTTCACAAATTTTAATGGTGTTGTTACATAATCATGAGGGACATGTTTCGGTCTTATGAAAGTCCATCTCCAGCCCAATTGGAAGTTTTGGAGTTGAAAAATATCTTTTGATGCTATACTACGCACCTTTTTCAGATGTATTTCAG